GCTCACACAGGTGGGCTGCACTCCCCTCACCGGTCCCCTGGCTAACTTCTCTTCAGTCTCTCCCCCTGACCATCCTGTGCACAGGTGTTGTCCCCCCCTCCATCCCCGGAGAAACTTACTGTCACCACATCTGTGGAGCTCATGGAATACACAGGGCTGGCCCCCGTCTCCACCACCCCCAGGGACCCCGACTCAGAGAGCCGGGCCAGGGACCGAATGGCCCCGGGTCCCCCGTCTCCGCGCCTCCCCACGCGCATACACAAGCGTCTCATTCACGTGGCGCTCCCGGCGCCTGGCACCCGCTCTGATGCTTAAAATAGGCACACAACCAGCCTTTGTTGGGGAGAGGAAGGAAGGAAGGAAGGTTTCAAAGGAGACAGCAAACCTCGAGGTCCGGGCAAGCTGGGGGCATGCACTGGGCAGGCCACTGGAGGAGCGGGATGGGCGCGTTTCTGGAGTGAAAGTGAAGGTCACTCCGGACAGGTGAGGTGGGGCCCACTCCCCGGGTGCCACCAAGGCCGAGTGAGGGATTTTGATTTTGTCGAGTGGGTGACGAGTTGGTGACAGTGGCACAGAAATGATGAACCGATCTGAGCTTTAGAGACCAGATTCTGGTCGTGTGGGGCGACCCACCAGATCGGGAGAGACTGGAGGCTGATCCACCAGCTGGGATGCTCTGAGCAAGAGACGGTGAAACGCTTAACTCAAGCAGGAAAGAACCACAGACAGGAGAGAGAGGGATAGGACTCAGGGCGATGACACCTAACGACCCCCAAGCTTCAGTTTAGTGGGCTGTCGAAAGCCCAGGAAAAAGCCATTTAAATAGCAGCATGATTCTTCACTGCCAAAATGTGGGAGCAACCCAGATGTCCATCAATGGGTGAATGGATAAACACAATGTGGTCCATCCACACACTGGAGTATTACTCAGCCGTCAAAAGGAGTGAAGCCCCGACACAGCCACACCGTGGATGGACCCTGAACACACGACGCTCAGTGAGAGAACCAGACACAGAACGACACACAGTGTGTGATTCCACTGATGTGAAATGTCCAGAACAGGCACATCCACAGACAGAACGTGGGTTCGTGGTTGCCAGGGGCTGGGGGAGAGGATGGGGGTGACTGCTCATGTGGACAAGGGATCTTATCTGGGTGATGAAAATGTTCTAAAATGAATTTATGGGGATGGTTGCACAATTTGATAAACTTACCAAAAAATTTAACTGTGTGCTTAAAATGGCTGAGTTTTCTGACATGGAAGTTGTACCTCAACTAAAAAAATAAAAAGCAGTAAGACTTTCTCCTTTGCAAGGTTCTCAGGAGAACTAGTAGCCATTTCTGGAATTGTCTCAGAGCTGCCCAAAGCCCCCCCTGCCCACGAGAGGGGGCTTAAGGGGAGGACAGGAGAAGGAAGAAATGACTGCCCAGGACAGGTCACCCCACATTCTCAGCTCCCAGGTCTGGTCTGGAAGGTCTGCTGAGTGACATATGGAATGAATTTCCTCCAGATTCTGAAAAGAGAGGCCACAACAAACGGCAGCACGAGAGAGCAGCGGTGAAAATCAAGTCCAGAAGTGTCCAAATGAACAGCACGAGCCGGAGGGAGGCTCCCCGACATGGGCAAGGACGTGGGTGGCAGAAGCCAGCCGTTAAGGGACCCAAGCAAACGTTCCCAGAACCAAGCTTGGGCAATCACCCGCAGGAGCAGCCCGCGGGGCACACAGGAAGGGGGGAAATAAGTCTGTGTCAACACCCGGCGATCATGCAACCATCCTGCTCACCGTGCCCTCTAGAAAGCTCCAAAAAGTTCCAGAGTCACGGAGGCCAGGCACAACCCTTGCGTAAGAAATTACGAAAGAGCTTCAAGAATACGAATGACCTAGTAAATACTGTTGTAAAGACGATGATTTGTTTCCAGATGCAAATGAGAAAACCTGTAACAACACCTTTTTACACTACTACACGGTGTACAAAAAAAAAATACCTCCATTCAGTAAACACGAAGCTGAGTGTCTGTGTATTTGGGTAATTCATATCCCGTTGTCTTCCCTCCAAACCGCAGGGCCCCGGGCTTTATGAAACAGGAGCAGAAAACAATGCACCGGTCGCGGGATATTTTCTGTAGAAGACCAAGAATTACCCAAAGAATTCGAGCTTCTGTAGAAGCCTCATGAACTCAGTTAAAACCAAGGAATCAAACAGACTTTGGCACCTCAATGCCCACAACCGATCATTTAATCCCATATTCGAAATCAGTATCAATGTTCGAAAGCCACACAAAAGACTCACCTAGGAAGAAGCCAGCATCTCTCAAGTTCTCGAAAAGCATGTGATTTTCATTTTATTTTTCCTCTCAAAACGAGAGCACTAGAGGATTTACAAATAGAGCCCAAATCTGGACCGAACTTCCTAAGGATCCAAGGGGAGATGTGGTCTTTAAATGAGACAAGAACTTGGTTTTGTCTATTACTAGGGGTCTCCACCAGGGGTGACTCTGCCCCCAGGTGACGGCTGGGGACATCTGTGGTTGTCACCCTGGGGGTGCTCCTGGCATCGAGTGGGTGGGGGCCAGGGATGCTGCTCGACCCCCTATAGTGCCCAGAATGGCCCCCCCACAGAAGATGACCCAGCCCCCACGGCAGCAGAGCGATGGGGAGACCCCGGTCCCTCATATACACTCAAGTTATAACGCTCATAGATTTAAAGAGCATCTAATCATGGCCCAGTGGTTCCCGCAAGGGACACATCCGAATGGCTCCTGGGGGTACACCTAAATCAGAATGACCCATGCTGCCTTCTCCTTCGTGGATAACCTCGCTCCCTGACAAACCTTCAGAATCTCCTGGCACCAGATCCAGGTAGGTTCCTCTTTTTTTGTTTGTTTTTTCTTCACTTTTAAAAATATGGAAAAAAATTTTTTTTGCAGATTCTTTTCCAGAGCTCCAGGGGTGATTCTCATGTGCACCCTAAGATTGCAGGACTGGAGTCGAGCTCCACCTGACTCCTTCCCTCCCCTCCCTGACAACCCAGTCATGCCACCCACCCACCTTCCCCCTCCCAAAAAAATCTTAATTTAGAACGTCATTATCAAGGCCGCACGCACCCTCGCCATGTGCCAGGAGCATGCTCCGTGCTCCCTTCCCTCTTCTGCCCCTCGCAGCCATCCTACAAGGCACTGCTACCGTTTCTATTATTCCCATTTTATGGAGCAGTAGACCAAACTTCCCAGAGGCGATGCGGCCAAGCAAACATGCCGACGACGCAGGGGGCCCGTCTTCAGAGCCCACCGCGCCCTTCCCCTCTGCAAGACCTCCATCCCACTGCACAAGTTTGTGAACTTGGCGTTGCCTTGCCGACACCTAGCAACAGTCGAAGCCTCTGAGCTGCTGTTCGTCACGCCTGTCTTTTCCCACCCACCTCCCAGCCCCCGGCAGCCCCTGCTCCCCAGGAAAAGTAAAGTGCCACCCACAGCCCTCAATAGCATCGTCCCCAAAACTCCCACCTCGGTTCCTCGCTCCCGAACCCAAAAATTCCTGAAGAATTCAGTCACCAACTCGAGCCTTTCTGCTTCCCAAGACTCTGTCCTTTGCACCCTAAGTCCCAGAAACAGACCCCGCAAAGGAGGTTGAACTCCCATCTTCTCCAGCTCACTGTGGCCAAGAGGTTTCTGCCCCATACCCTCTTCTATACCAAATGATTAGCCCCCCAAAAGTAGGGGGCAAGTCCCCTCCACAATCCTTATAACTGACTTCTAACCCAGAACCCGCCATTTCCTCCTGAATAGTCAACTTCCCACAAAACACCAGCCCTCCATCCCATCATCACTCGGATCCCTTCCTCCCTTCTCATCCCCTCAAGCACTTTGAACTCCTCATTTCTCCCCAGATCCCTCGGACCCCTTCTGAAACAGGTCTGACCCCATCTCCATCCCTCAGCCTTCCCCATCTCTGCCCTCCGGCCCTTGGCTCACTCTAACCCTGGGCTCCTCAACCACCCTTCCCGGCCAACTCGACCTCCAACTCCAGCTGCAGCCCCCTCCCCAGCCACCCTCAACCTTCAACTCCACTCCCAGCCCCCTCCTCAAATAACCCTCACCCTCAACTCAACTCCTCTGCCCCTCCCCAGAGAATCGTGACCCCCAATTCCTCCCCCGACCCCTCCCAGCTAACCTCGACCTCAACTTCAGTCCTCTCCCTAGTTGATCTAGACCTCCAATTCCAACGCCAGCCCCCTCCCCAGCTAACATGGACCCCCATCTCCAGCACGATCCCCAACTCCAGCACCCTCCCCAGATGACCTCGACCCCCAGCTCCAGCCCTGATCCCCAACCCCAGCCCTGATGCCCAACCCCAGCTCCTCCCCAGCTGACCCTAAATCCCATCTCTACACCCAGCTCCTTCTCCAACTAACCTCGACCCCCAAATCAGCCCCAGCCCCCTTCCCAGCTGACCTCACCCCCAGCTCCAGCCCTGATCCCCAATTCCAGCCTAGATCCTCAATTCCAGCCCCCTCCCCAGCTAACCTCGACCTCAAGTTCAGTTCCCTCCCTAGCTAACCTCGACCTCAAGTTCAGTTCCCTCCCTAGCTAACCTCGACCTCCAGCTCCAGCCCCAATCCCCTACTGCAATGCGAGCCCCCAACCCCAGCCCGGATCCCCAACTCCAGCCCCTCCCCAGCTGAGCCTGAGCCCCATCTCCACCCCTAGCCTCTTCTTCAACTAACCTCGACCCCCAGCTCAGCCCCAGCCCCCTCCCCAGCTAACCTTCACCCCCAGCTCCAGCCCTGATCCCCAATTCCAGCCTGGAATCTCAACTCCAGCCCCCTCCTTAGCAGACCCCGACCCCCAGCTCCAGCTCAGACCCCTAACTCCAGCTCGGATCCCCTGCCTCAGCCCCCTCCCCAGCAGACCCCGACCCCCAACTCGGTCCGCAGCCAGATCGGAGCCCTCGGGGGCCCCCTTCCTCCGGGACCCCGGGCCTGCCCTCCGCCCCGGCCGCGCCCCGGCCCCC